CACTATTCTATATGCTTTGGTTCTACTCTGGATGTGTCAGGTGTACCTCAAGGCTCCATTCTTGGTCCAGCTCTTTTCTCCATATTTATAAAGATATCTCACATTCTGTTAGTGAGGCATACATCCATTTATATGCAGATGGCACTATTCTATATGCTTTTGGTTCTACTCTGGATATGTCAGGTGTACCTCAAGGCTCCATTCTTGGTCCAACTCTTTTTCTCCATATTTATAAAGATATCTCGTATTCTGTTAGTGAGGCCTCCATCCATTTATATGCAGATGACACTATTCTATATGCTTTTGGTTCTTCTCTGGATGAGGTTGTGAAGTCCCTTGCATGTAGTTTTCTTGAAATCCAGCAGGCCTTTTTGACTTAAATTTGTCATTAAATGCCAAGAAAACTAAATGCATGTGGTTTGGTAATGGAGAAGGAACCATACCCACCTTGGTGGACTTCACAACTATAAATGGTGATATTATGGAAGAGGTAACAGTTTATAAATATTTGGGAATTTGGATTGATGGTGCTCTGTCCTTTTTACATCATGTTAATGTTTTGCAGTCTCAGGTTAAGATGAGACTTGATTATCTATATAGAAATTGATCTTCATTTACACTGGCTGCAAAACACACCATTGTTGAAAAAAACATTCTACCTCTGTTGGATTATGGAGACATAATTTACAGACATGCTTGTAAGGGTGTCCTTCGTAAGCTGGACACAGTTTATCACTCTGCTATCGGCTTTGTTACAAATGCTCCTTATAGAACATCTTTGTCTCTACTCTCTGGTTAAATGGTCTTATCTTCATACTCAGCATGAAATTCATTGGTTTACCCTCATTTATAAGACGTTGCTGAGTTTGTCACCTCCATATTTAACTAACCTACTGCAAGTAGCACCGGTTTCGAAGTGTAACACCCGATCCTCTCAGGATTTGTGGTTAACATCTCTAAAGACGAAGTCTCGCTTTGGCTCTGCTGCTACATTTGACTGGAACCTGCTTCAAAAACTTTGAGTTTTACCTCATTTGTCTCAGTTACAAGTTTTAAAAATCATTTACAAGCAGTTTTTAAAGATACTTGCAAATGTTTTCATGCTTATTAATGTTGTCATTTAACTTTGACAATTTGTGATTTAGTTGTTTGTTACTGACTTCTATATTTTATTGATTTTACCGAACTTGACCCTGAAGTACCCGTTGGTGCTGCAGGCCGGCACTGCAAATGTTTATGCCTGGTTAAATAAAGGTGAAACTATTTGCACTTATTTTATGTGGGTAGATTATCACTAATATTTTAGAGCTACAGCTTAATCACTTAAAGAAATCTGTTACATTTCAACCAGTTTTCACACTTGTAATGTCTCCATTTTCTCAAAGAGTTAAACAATTTTTAAATTATTACTTGTTAAAATTAATGTTTGGATTTAAGCAAAACAAGGCTTTTAAATGCTTTAACCCCCCACCCCCAGTAATGTTGAGTCAAATTACATGACCACTATCAGGGAAAACTGTGTTTTTTTCTGCATTTGACACATTTCTCACAACTCTGTTTCTAAATCCAGATTCTCTTCCTAAAAATCTGGATCCGCCTGTCTTCATAGAGGCCCTGGAAGACTCTTGTGTGGACGAAGGAAGTGACCTCGTGCTACGAGGCGTTCTTACAGGAAGTAAGCCGATCAAAGTGACGTGGCTGCACAATGGTGAGAAAATGAGCAAAAGTTCATGCACAAAGGACAAATATGTAAAAAATACAGTATATATCATCTGTCTCCATGAAATGTGGGAAAATCATGCAATTACCTCTGAACTGCAGATAAGATGCTGACTACTCACAACCACTCTTTTTTTGTGTTTCTGAAAAGGTAAAGCAGCACCTTTTGGAAAACCTTCCTTCAATGGCGGGGAGGTGAGATTTGTAGTGAGGGACTGTTTACCTGAAGATGCTGGTTCCTACTCGTGTCTGGCTGAAAACAGTGCAGGGGGGTCATCCTGCAGAGCTTCTGTGGCCGTCAGGGGTGAGACACCTATAGCACCATCTTTCCTGTTAGTCACTGGAACATATTTGTACATTTTTACTCAAGTTCATCAACAAGGAAGTACATTTTTGCTTAATCAAATAAAACTGTGTGAAGTTTTAATTCTTATTTTCTCTAATAACTTTAAAAAAGAGCTTGACAAAGTTTTGTGTCTGATGTGGTTCCTGTTTATTTTTTCAGACTTTGAAAGCATGTGTGGGGTGTCAAAGTTTCCCACTTCTGCAGCTAAGAGCATTTCGGAAAATGGAGGCTCACCTCAAACTCCCAAAGATCAGCAACGGAGCTTTAGAGCAACTTTTGCTGCCTCTCCAACAAGCCCTGACACGCAGAGTCCAGTCTTATCCCCAAGAGGTAAAATTATAACATTCATATCTTTCAATCTGTGTTTACTTTTAAGCTAAGCTATTTCTAATGTAAGTAGAGAAAATGCAGCATGAAAGCTGAAATTTGTTGAAGACGCTGAAGCTGATGAAGCTAAAAGAAGAAAACACTAGCTATAAGCTAAAAAAGACAATAATAGTTGAAAGTTTGATTTCAAACAGAACAGTGGTCTTGATAGTGCTGTATATACGAGATCTGGTGTGGGGGAGTGGTGGTGCAGAGGTCAGAGAAGGTGGGCCTGTGAAAGGAAGGTTGCCAGTTCAACTCCCCAGACTAACAACATCAAACTGTGGGTGGGAAAGTTGAAGCACCCACACCTGCCACCACCCTCATTTGCCCCATTTTGGGCCCTTGAGCAAGGCCCTTAACCCCCACCAGCTCCCCTGGGCGCCCTAGATGGAGCTCTCTGCTCCGCACAGAGGGCTGTGGAAGCTCTGCGGTCTGTGGTTGTGTCAGGAAGGAGATCCGGTGTAAGAAATAATCGCTACGTCTTCGTGTGAGTTAGTTTGCTGAAGAAGGAGCAGCCGAAAGAAGAAAAACAAACAAGATTTTAGTGTATTTCTATGGGGAAACATTTCTATGGAACACCAAAAGGCTCAAAATTAAATAAATAAATAAAACCTTATGAAAAAAAAAAAAAGTTTTTATTCTTTTATTTCATACTGACGTTTTTCAGCAGAATGACTTCAGCTGTGAATCAACGTCAGTGGGTTGGACCTGCACGCCCACTGGCTGATCCGTCACATCTGCTGTTGCTAGTATCACCCCCCCCCCCCCCCCGCCATCATTAAAACGTCATTGAAAAACGTCATAATGAAATAAATAAACTATCATAAAACAACACTATTAAACAAATAAGCCATGAAAAACAGCATTATGAAATAAAAAAGCCATAAAAAACACAATTATTAAATTAAAAAGCCCATTTTTCTGATTTCATAATGCTTTATTTATTTAATTTTGAGCATTGTGGTGTTCCATACATTTCTAAATAAAAATTAAACATTGTGCAAATTATAAAAGTTCACAAAGAAAATAAATTCACACCACCCAGCTCGCCAGTTGTCTGAACATCTTGATATATGCACGTCTGAAACAGCACGATGCATGCAGGAATGTTCTGAAAACGTGGAGAAATAAAAACTGGAGAACAATAGTGAGAACGCTGAATCAGCAATAAAGCGCTTCTGATACGGGCTTGAATGTAGCACTCAAAACATTTTTTACTTGCAGTTTTTTAGGGTATCCCTGTTTAATTTCTAAAAGGAAAGACACTTCCTGTTTGTGTGATTGGCCGTCCGATCATGTGAGGTGTATAACCGTACAAGCCCCCTGACACACCCTCTGAAAGCGGTCAGCCTCAAGTAAAGGCCTTGTAGGGAAGTGGACATCGCACTGCGTTCAGTAAAACTTCCCGAGTCTGTAAACTGATAGCCCTAGTCAGAGTAGAGCCACACCTTCATCCTCAGCTGCTTTAACCTACCTGCCCTTCATCTGTCGCCGCAGAAATCATCCCGAAGAAGAGAAGCAACTCAGGCACAGGTGAGAGAAGCAAACCACATTTTCACTTGAAACTATTTATTTGTATTTCTGAGCTGCTGTTGTTTCACTCGTGTAAATGCAACATATTTCAGAGTTGGTATTGTTTGACAAAGCTCTGCCTCTCTATTTAAGCCCTTGTTCAAATAAAACTGCAACTTGCCTGTAGGTCATTGCGCTTCATGTTACTGGGAAACCTTCCCTCAGGGTGGAGGCTGCAACAACAAAAGCATTAAGAGCTCACACAATAGCGCCTGGACATTTGTTGTGGAGCGTGCACACTGTGTTAAAGTGGGAGTTTCACTGAAGATTGGAGCCGCAGGGTGAAATAATGCCTCTAAAGTCTCATAAAACATCATTTTTATCTCAAAGGCTTCAGCCAAATTTGCCTTCCTGATGCCACCAATATTTGAATACTGACTCTGACAGAAGTATGAACTCATATATGGAGTTTTCGTCGAGACGTTTGGCCTTCAGGATGAGGAACACTGTCCCAGTTTTACAGAACAAGCCAAAGATCTCACAGTCGGGCGTCATTTTGTGTTTATCTCAGGCTCACACACGTCGCAGCTTCCTTCCAGCGTGATGGTTGGTCTCTCAGCAGACACCACAAAGGCCTTGGAGCCACAGCACTCATGTTGTTTTGTCTTTGCAGCTCCGGCTTTACAGTTCCAAAATCCACCGCAGCACGTGGACGTGAAGGTGGGACAGCCTGCCAGTCTGACGTGTTTTTTCACTGGAAGCCCTCCTGTAGCCTCCTGCTGGATCAGAAACAAAGAACAGGTATGGCATTTTATTTTATTTTTAAAGCACGTTAAAAATAACAGAAGTTATAAGAGGCTTTAAAAGAACAAGTGAAGGTGAAATGAATCACAGAGAACCATCAGTTCTATGGGACTCCATAGAACCAGTTTGATGGCGCTAAGATGGTTTCTGGAGTCCGCCCTCTCCCCCGCCGACTCTTTAAGAGGAGATGGGGTGGACTTCAGAAACCATCATAGCACCGTCAAACTGGAACCACTATGTGAAGGTGCTATTTATAAGACTGAGGTTGTTGTGACTCCTCAGACTGATGAAGTCCTTTGGATGAAAGACGAAACGTTTCAACAAAAAGAAACCGAGGACCTGACTTAACTTTGCTGAGCTTCTCCTGAGACGTAACTCATCGATTCTTTGCGCACCAACATGTTATTTCTACAGTTGTAAAAAATATATATCCCTTATAAGAAATAAAGCAAATGGTTAAAGCAATGATAGAAATTAAGCCAGTTCGTTGGATAATTCAATTTTTTTCCCTGCAACTTTTATTCAGCTTTTACCAGGGCTTAATTTGTAAACCAGCTGATGCTGGAACACAAATAGTGGGTGGGCTGGTGGTAGCGGGGGGGGTCCTCCCCCAGAAATTTTGAATAAAGTAAATGCAATTTCCTGCATTTTGTTGTATTGTATCGTGCTGTTAAACATCTACGTTTCCCTACATTTGTAAACACGCTGCTTCTGTCAAGCACCCCTCCCTTTACAGTTCTGAGCCCGACTCCTCCACTGAATTCACTGTCCCTGCTCGTTGTTGTCTGACTCCACATGTGAACCCCCCAGGCGCCTCCCTGTCTGTTCATGGCGGCTGCCTGTGCGCTCCTGCCTGCGTACGACTGCCTGGTTAGCTCCGCCCTCACCCCCAGGGGCGGAGAGTTTTTAAGGGTAGAAGCGGAAAAGCTACTTGAAGGGGCAGCTATGTGATATTAAGAAGCTCGTAAGTGGCTGTTGTGTTTAAAATTAGTGTTTATGTAATTATTTTCACATTACATATCCAGTATACCGTAACTTTCATTCGTTCAAGGTAGTCATGTTTCTTCATAACTTTATCATTAGTGAGCCTGAGAGTTAGCGGATCCAAGCAAACAGTTACCGGAATGCACCCTGTCAAAATTAGAGCGTTCCCGGATCCTGTTCCAGCAGGATCCGGCTCATATTAAGCACTGGTTTTTATCTAAAGCAAGCTGTTTTTCCTAATTATTCATTTGACCAGAATGACTTTCTTTCATTTTCTTATTGTAATTATAAATATTTTGTATTTCCGCGTTAGTTTTGGTTAAAGTTTCTAAGAGTTGCCGCAGGCGGACCGAACCAAAGAGCTGCATGTGGCCCCAGAGACACTTTAGCAGAATGCTCTGAATTCCACAGCCAAATAACAAAACGTGTTTCTAGATCTTTCTGTATGTTTTTCTGCAGATAGCAGATAGTCTGGAGGTGTGGACAGAAAGCACCGATCAGAGCAGCTCACTGGTAATAACGGAGGCTAAAGCACAGCACACGGGTCGATACACTGTTGTAGTGAAGGACCGAAGAAGCTCAACGCAACATTCACTTACCCTTTCCGTCATAGGTAAGTCAATTCACAAGGTATTCTGAAGCTTAAATGAAGCACTTTGTTAAACACTTGCCAAAATCATCCTCCCACCAGACAGACCGGAGCCTCCTGCTTCCCCTCCTGTGATCTCCCTGGTATCTGGATCCAGTCTTGTGCTCTCCTGGTCGGGCCCCTGCTACGACGGCGGGAGCGTCGTGCTGGGCTACGTGGTGGAAGTGAGGAACCCAGGACTTGGTGAGCCTGGAGAGTGGAAAGAACTCACTAACCAGTGTAAAAGCACCTCATACAAAGTGACATCTGGACTGGAACCTCAACAGGAGTTTTGTTTTAGAGTAAGGGCATACAACGCTGCAGGAGTGAGTGAGCCAGGCCCAGTCTCACCAGTGGTTAGAATGGAGCAGAAAGGTGAGGCGACATACGGCAGCACAGGTGAATTTTAAACCCTGTATGGAAACTTGGTATTAAAGTGTTTGTTGCATCTGTGTAGATCCTAAGAAAACCCATGAAGAAGCCCCTGCGGCGTACACCTGTGTCACAATCGATTCATCCCACAAAGTCATAGATCACTACGATTTGCACGAGAAACTTGGAACGTAAGTGTCTGTTCCTCCCCCGTTTGCAAAACTTTTGGTTTTGGAAGCTGAGCCAGAATTCACTTCCTCGAGTGCTGGAGGGACAGGAAAGTGCGACACAGACAAAAAGAGGAGAACCTATCTAGAGAAAAAGGAAAATTCTGCCAAGTACAAGAGAGCAACGATCAAACTGATGTCGTGTAGAGGCACGTTGAGATAATCAGACACGTGTTTTACAGCGTCAGCCGTGGCAGCTCTGAGAAACGCACAGTAATATTTCACTTTTACTGGAAGACCGAGGCACATCTGAAACACTTGTTTTAAACACAACTTTATTACGTGCCTGACTTCTCATTAGGTCCTTAATGTTCTGCAATAAAAAATGACTTCTGTGCTCATTAGGGGGAAATTTGGCTCGGTGTACAAGCTCACCCACAAAGAGACGGGATGTGTGTGCGCTGGGAAGTTCTACAAAGGACGTCGTGCCAAAGAGAGAGACGCTGCTCGTAAAGAGATAGAACTGATGAACTATCTCCACCACCCTAAACTGGTTCAGTGTTTGGGGGCGTATGACCAGAAACCTGAGATGGTCATGGTGATGGAGTTGTAAGTATTATGTCAAATTCTCAAAGGCAACTTTGGACCAGGAGATGCTTTTAGGGTGGCAAAAGAGTGGCATCCGGTATTAGTTACCTGGTAATGAAATAAACTCTGTATCTGTCATCTGCTGCTCCAGAGGTAGAGCACCACTGCATGTCATGATGTCACTTTGATTAGGACGAGGGGAGGGGGGCTTCAGAAAAATCATCGCTGCTGTTGACATTTTCAGGTCTGCTCGACGGGTGAAACCGAATTTGAAGGCTACAGATGAACTCTAATTAAATGAGCTAGGATAAAGATCGTTCTTCGGAGTTGTCTAACATGGTCCAAAAATATTGTAAAAAGTCTACAAACAGGATGGCAGCAGGGGGTGGAAAGATAAAGGCCTCTTTATGCCACTGCCAATGTCTTATATGCCAGAAGTCAGAAACGTATTTTTTCTGCAGTATTGCTGGAGGAGAACTGTTCGAACGAATTGTGGACGACACCTTTGAGCACACAGAGTCCAACAGTGTGCGCTACATGCAGCAGATCCTGGAGGGGATTGCATACATGCACCAGCAGAACATCGTCCACCTGGACCTCAAACCTGAAAACATTGTATGCGTTGACACCACTGGCACGTCCATAAAGATCATTGACTTTGGATTAGCCAGCAGGCTTGGTATGTAACCTTTTAAACATATATCTGTCTAGATGGTGTTATGGATGTGTTTAAAGTGTTTAAGGGCGGCTGTGGCTGAGTGGTTAGAGCCGTCGTGGGGGTTTGATTCCACCAGCAGTCACGTGTTGAAGTGTCCCTGGGCAAGACACTGAACCCCTCATTGCCTCTGACGTGTGTCCCATCAGTGCATGAATGTGATTTAAAGCACTGGTTAGTCTCTACAGACTCACATTATCTTTGTAGAGATCTAGTAGAGTGTTGCATGAATGGGTAAATGAGGCACAGGTTGTTGTAAAGAGCTTTGAGTATCATGACTACCGTAGATAGAAAGGCGCTGTATAAGTACAGTTCTTTAACCATTTAAAGTTTGACATTTCCGTTGAATAGACCGCAGCGCCCCTCTGAAGGTGTTGCATGGGACTCCTGAGTTTGTGGCTCCTGAAGTTATCAACTATGAACCCGTCAGTTTGGCCACGGACTTGTGGAGCATCGGCGTCATCTGCTACATCTTGTGAGTCGTCGTCTTGTTTCCATTTAAATTCAAGAGAAGTTTGACACAGTTGTTCATTTTCTTACCAAAACTGCAAATGACCGATTGATGTCGGCCTCCCTCAGATACAACACAAGTCCTCGAGTCCAAAAACAATCTGTTAAACACGGAACATGAAATCTGAAAGTAACTATTTTAAATACAGTATTGTCAAGATGCTTACTGGAGTTTTATTCTCACCACTTTTGTATCAGACTCCTTTAAGTTGCATTTGTTTGCTGCTAAGAGCTTAAAGATGGGAAGAGAGTTTATTTCCACCTAACAGTGACGGTAGCGATTAGTGGGTGGCTGTCCTGACGGTGAAGACTTCAACATGTCCTCACACGGGCTGGTATGGAACAAGGAAATAAAACAGGAATACTGGATTTCAGTTCAAAGTGTTCCTCTTGACTAATCACTTACAGAGATCATAACCGGTGATAAAAGATGAATGCATTTTTTTTACACATTGTAAACCTGAGGTTCGCCCCCATTTCTCATGTGTGGCAGTAATCTATCCTGCAGCTGGTTAAAGACAATGTTTAGTGTGTCGACCTAAAAAGAGTTATTTGCTGTCATGCATTCCCACTGTCTTTTAATGTCTCCTGTCTTTGCCCGTACAAACGGATGATTTTTGTTTTCATTTTTTAAGCAAACAGAATGATCATGATACATACTGGATCTGTACATCCTTGTTCTCCAAAGGTCAAGCAGCAGTTGTCCTCTACGGCCTCCTACTGGTAGAAACAAGGATGGCTCATAATGTTTAACTGATCAACTTTTGATTTGTGAACACAACAATCATTTCAACTGATGCAAAACATAAGTCTGATCAAGATTTTACATTTAAATGAGTACACACAGAATAAAATAGTTTTATTGGGCAGATTTAAAGTGATTAGAAATTGGATTTTAGTACAAGACTAAGGAGCTTAAATTTTAAAATTCAAATTATTAAAATGTAGTATCCCATTTCAATTAGTTAAAACTATTAAAACTATTAAAACTATTAGGATTTCAGTTGATAATTTAAATAAAACAATTCGAATTTGGAATTTAGAACACAGAATTTAGAATGTTTACAAGACAGTGGTGAGAGCAGCTCTGTTGTATGGTCTGGAGACAGAGACAGGGACAAAAAGACAGGAGACAGAACTGGAAGTGGCAGAAATGAAGATGTTGAGGTTCTCCTTAGGAGAGACAAGGATGGAGAAGATCAGGACTGAGATCATCAGAGGTACAGCACAGGTGGAACAACTGGGAGATAAAGTTAGAGAGGACACACTGAGATGGTTTGAACATGTCCAGAGGAGGGACAGTGGTTTGGACATGTCCAGAGGAGGGACAGCGGTTTGGAAATGTCCAGAGGAGGGACAGCGGTTTGGACATGTCCAGAGGAGGGACAGCGGTTTGAAAATGTCCAGAGGAGGGACAGCGGTTTGGACATGTCCAGAGGAGAGACAGCGGTTTGGACATGTCCAGAGGAGGGACAGCGGTTTGGAAATGTCCAGAGGAGGGACAGCGGTTTGGACATGTCCAGAGGAGGGACAGCGGTTTGGAAATGTCCAGGGGAGAGACAGTGGTTTGGACATGTCCAGAGGAGAGACAGTGGTTTGGACATGTCCAGAGGAGGGACAGTGGTTTGGACATGTCCAGAGGAGGGACAGTGGTTTGGACATGTCCAGAGGAGGGACAGTGGGTATATTGGTAGAAGGATGTTAGAAATGCAGCTGCAGGAAAAAGACAAAGAGGAGACATATGGATGCAGTTAGAGAGGACATGGAGGGAGTTGGAGTGAGGACAGAGGACGCAGAGGACAGAGTGAGGACAGAGGACGCAGAGGACAGAGTGAGATGGAGGACTCACTGTTGCGAGCCCTGAAGAGGGAAAAGCCAAAAGAAGACTATAGAATTTAAAATTTGGAATTTGGATTTTGGTTTTTAGAATTTGGAATTTAGAAATTGGATTTTAGAATTTGGATTTTGGTTTTTAGAATTTGGAATTTAGAAATTGGATTTTAGAATTTGGAATTTGGATTTTAGAATTTGGATTTTAAAATTGTATTAGTATTCTTCAGGCTTATTAACATTTAAAATTCTGACCAAGAATTTAGATTTGTCATTGACTGTATCGTTGCGTTTTGAAACCGGTTCATGAGATCGTTGCTCCTCTGTGATAGGTTAAGCGGCGAGTCTCCGTTCCAGGGTTCCTGTGAGTCCGAGACTCTGGCTTTGGTCACAGCAGCTCAGTGGGAGTTCGATGACGAGAGCTTCCAAGATATAACAGAGGAGGCCAAAGACTTCATCGGCTCACTGCTAAACAAGGACCCAAGGTGATCTTAAAGTCACACAACCACAGCGTCCCCACAGACATCGTTTTCAGTCACACGTGCCGTTTTTGTTATAAGGAAGAGGATGTCCTGCGAGGAGGGCCTTGCCCACCCGTGGATGGAAAAGTTTGCCTCTGGAGACGTCACTACTACCAAGAGTCTGTCCAAGGAGAAGATGAAGAAATTTTTAATCACACAAAAGTGGAAGGTGGCACCCCCAAACATATCATATCTTCATCCCCAAACATATCATATCTTCATCCCCAAACATATCAGAATCTTCTTCATAGGAAACGATGGATTCATTTCATTAAAAATCCATGTCTTACAGAAAGCAGGCAAGGCCATGCAGGCCCTGAAGAGAATGGCGTTGTTGTCTAAAAGTGACAGTTCGGCAACTCTCACAAGCCCTGGGAAGGGTGAGACCATTTCTGCTCTTTTAAAAGAAGCCTTGTGACTTCCTGTCTTGACCTTTTTATTCGTTTTTGTTTCCTAGACGTGCGTCTGAGCCCAGAGGCAGAGCACGCCCTGCAGTCTCTGGAGCAGAAGATGCAAGGACCTCCTCAGTTTACCAAGAGCTTGGAGGAACAAACTGTAGCTCGGGGGTCCTGTGTCCGACTCTCATGCCACCTCACAGGTACCCATCACCTTCTTACACAAAAGATGTGGAGTTTTAGGAAGAGGTGCTTGTGTGTCAGTACCTGTATGTACCTGAGCAGTCCACCTGGTCCGAGGGGTTGTTTGACTCATTACCTGTAAATTATTAATCAGCTTGGTCAACACGTGAAATATTTGGTCACACATAGGTTGACCTGCGGAATCAGATGTTCAAACAACGCAAAACCCTGAAATCACACGACTCTCTTCAAACTCTGGTGACACAAAGAAGCGTCAGTTTTATTTTTCCCGATACGTGGATGATTCAAACATGACAACAGACTCGCAGCTCATGTACGAGTTAATGCGTAATATTAAAGAATTTAAGAAAACGTGCAACAGTTTGTTTGTTCGGATGAATTTAGATCATTTCAGAAGGTTTTATTTTAAGCATGAATACTTTAATTTGTTTCTACTACATGGGCTGTATGTGGGAACAGACGTGTGTTTTGTATCGTCACTAACAAAGTTGACTTTAACTGTAAATGCAAAGGTTTTACACAAAGATCGTATGCAATATAGCATTTAGTACGAGCTGTGAACGATTCAGCTACAACTACGCTAAATTTGAGCACACCTGCTCTTTAAGGTCAGTCTGACCGTGACCGGGCGGCCATCTTGAAGTGATTGACTGTAAAAGTTGAACAGTTCGATCTGTTACTGCTTTAAATGTGTGTTGTGTCTCTCACATCCATCAGGTTTTACATCAATATCTGTGAAACTGATGACGTTTTAGTTATCACTGTCTTTATTAAGGTCAGTGTGCTGGTGCCATTTGTAAAGTTGCACAGTCAAAAATAAACAGCAATATTTTGGTTTAATTAGCTTTTCATGAGAAAAATAAGTTTTTTTTTCAAAGTCATATTTTCACCATGTTATTCATACATTTATAAATGTCATGGTTCCAAACTAAATATTTAATTTACAAGCTAATATTTATTTTACAAACTAAATATTTAACTTGAAAGTTAAATATTTAGTTTGTAAACTGAATATTTAGGTATGAATTAAATATTTAAATTTCCCAGCTAAATATTTATTTTCAAAACTAAACATTTAATTTCAGAACTAAAAATTGAATTTGCTAAATAAATATTTAGTTATCAAGTTAAATATTTAGCTAGCAAATCAAATATTTAGGTCAGAGGTAAATTATTAGTTAGGATATTAAATATATATTTTAGAAATTAAATGTTTAGTTTGTAAAATATATATTTAGGTCCGAGCTAAACATTTAGATAGTAAATTAAATATTTAATTTAGGAATTAAATGTTTAGCTTAGAAATTACATGTTTAATTTGGAAATTAAATATTTAACTCAGACAATAAATATTTAGTTTGGAAATAAAATATTTAATTTATACCTAAATATTTAGTTTACTAACTTTTTATTTAGGTGTTTAGTTTATTTAGTTTACTAACTAAATATTTAACTTGCAAGTTAAGTATATAGATTGTATTCTAAATATTTAGCTTGTAAATTAAATATTTAGTTTGGAACTGTGGCATTAATAAATGTATGAATAGCTTGAAAATATGACTTTAAAAAAAAAAACTATTTTTTTCTTATTAAAGGCTAAATAATCCAAAATATTGCTGTTAGTTTTTGACTGTGTATCTTTACAAACGGTACCCCATAGTGGCAGCCATCTTTAATTAGGTTTACCCCAGAAGTTAATGAGTTGTTAAACTGCATCCAGTGTTTACTGTCTGAAAGTTTCATTAGCATTTATCTGGAATTTCATAAAATATTTTGATAACAGACACATGAACACTCCCACACAAGCAAAACCAATATGTTTTCACCTTTGCCTTTCCGTGCAAGTGATAATAAGGTTCAGGTCTCTCTTGTAAATGAGTCCTCGAGGCTCAATGGGATTTACC